AACCACCATCCACAGAAGCCTGTATGCAGGGAAAGCCCAAAGACTTCAGGAAAGAAGCAAAGCGGGTAATGTTTGTTTACGATGACAGTAATAGTAATAGTTATAATCATACCAATGATAATAGAAGCATCAGTTGTCAGCAGGGCCATGGCAGCAGGAACCTAGAAGGCGAGAAAGCACACAACTCTGGGGAAGAAGCTGAATTTGTGATGTGCATTAGAGAGATGTGAATTCTTAGAGAGAGCGAGAGTGGAGCTTGGTGTGTCCTAAGAAATCCTCAGACAGTGTAGGTCAATAGAAGCTTATCTAAGGGCTGGTCCAGGCTAACCTGAGCCAGCCGTAACTATAAGCGTCAAAGAGAAAGTTGTAAGCTTTATCTTACCTGACCTGACCAAATCTGCCCCCCGGACTGAAAGTGGAACCTGGTTCCACAAAAGAAGGAGCTTGATAACTGAAGGCTCTGGCCCCCAGCCTACTTTTTAAAACCACAGGAACAACAAGTAACCCAGCATCTATGGAGCGCAGCTGTCTTGTAGGGCAATAAGGTGTTACTGATCAAAGAGAACTGCAAGATTCTTTACAATGCTGCTGCATACTGGAGGCGCTCTGCACCTATCAAGATATCCTCTCTTTTGTCTGATTTTAGCATCAGAAAATTGCTAGACATCCTTAACAATTAACAATCAACACATGACATTCTATATCCCACGACCCTCACATTCTGGAAAACACTCCAGGCCAGGAGTGAAAAGATTGCAGGAAAGTATGCCGCATATTGAATTGAATTCATTTTATTTTGTATAGCTCGTAAATTTGCCCTCAGAGGGCTTTACAGTCTGTACACATGCAACATCTTCTGTCCCGAAACCCTCACATGGGCACAGGAACAACTCCCCAAACAATGAAAAAACCCTTCCATGGGGCAAAAATGGATGAAACCTTTGGGAGAACGTCAGAGGAGGATTCCTCTCCTGGAATGGACAGACTACAATAGATGTCATGTGTACAGAATGAACAATCTGCACTGAACTTTCTTTCCATTGTCAATTTCCAATATCCAACATACCCCCTTTCTTCCAGTGGCCCTTGGTCAGATCACCAGCTGTGGCTCGACCATCCCCCACTCTTCGAAGACAAAAAGAATGAAGAAAAACTACCCGCCATTCAGCAAAACTAAATATGATGTAGTTCTCCCCCCTTTTCTGACTCCCACAACATTCATTTGTGATTTACAGAACCTTTTCAGTCACTTCCCATTGTGACGACTTATACAGCTACAGTATAAAACATTTTGAGCCGCATTAACAAATTGGTCATGTAAAAAGAAAGAAGGAAACTCAGGACATAATTTTCAAGCATCAAACAAACCTATTCAATGAATATCATGGAATGTGTATTTACAAGTGAACGGACATATGTGAAAGGGTTTGACCATGAAGCAACACAGAAATATAATGCATTGATGGTTTAAATCCAACGGTTGATGACACGTACAGGACTTTGTACACATCCCCCTCAGATTTTGCCACGTGATGAGGTCTTCGACTCCATTTTATGGTGATATGATGTCACCTAGTGAAGAAGAGGAAGTAATGCAGCCACAACTGACAGCCGAACTTTAGCCTTCAGTTTTTCTGACTGACAGGTTGTGGCTTCTGAGTGACTGAAGGAGCTACCGCTCTTCTCCACGTAGGGCTGCTCAGATCCAATCAGCTCCGACGATTACGAGGGGTTCAACCAACCACGGCCTGAGATCTCACAGAATCCAGACTTTCCACAACTACTGTCCACACACTGGGCTGTGATGACTTAGATGTGTGTTATGGTTTGGACAGGGATGAATACCCTGTAAGTGTTTTTAGGCGGATCTCAAAATTAAAAAGTTAGTTTGCCATCGTTATTCATTTATTTGCAAGTAAGATATGTGTCATATGCTGATATTTACAGACAGTTTATCCGGATAGCAAAACAAATATCCAGTCAGAAAAAGTAGTTCCAGAGATCTGGCCATTTTTATCATGTGGATGTAACGGGTTTGACCTCAAAGCTAACACAGCCCAGTGTATTTTTTCTCTGCTTTTCATAACTTGTGATATTACTATGGAAAATGTCAACATTCTTTCTTGTTCTATAATTTGATAAATCCAAACTGTTTTGTGTGTCTGTTTGTGTTCATATACATTTATATAAGTTCACTCTCTGCATTCCTACGGACAGTTTTACCTTGCTGAGTGGAAGATTAACTCCTAAATGTTGCGTAAATTGGATGCTTTGACAAAACCCCATCGATAAACCAGCAAAGATAATAAACATGGCGTGTGAAATTTATTTAATTTCAACTCCATTGTTGTGCTGTACAGAGCCAAAATAATGAAAAATGTGTCAATGTCCAACTATTCATGGAGCTGACTGTATTTACACAGGATCAGGAATCAGGAAACTTTTATTGCCATAATATGTCAGACATACTTGGCGGTTGGTGCATAACAGCAGACAGTACGACAATGGACGACAAGACAACACAGTGCAAGAGGAATTAAAATAAAATATAATGCTATGGGTTATGGGTAAAATAAAGGAATAAAAGTTACAAATATTTAAAATAAAAGTAAAGTGCACCAGCAACAGAAAGTGACGTGTGCAGTGAGAAAGAAAGTGACCGGTGGAACGTCAGAGTCAGTGGGACCGTCTTTGCAGAACCTCTCAAGTTAACACACAGCCATTTTCAGATCGGGTTCAGGGGATCCGGCTGCGCCACTCTAGGACATCGGAGTTGTCGCCGCGCCTTCGTTGTTTTGGCTGTGTGCTTCGGGTCGTTGTCCTGTTGAACAATGAACCGTCGCCCCAGTCGGAGGTCCAGAGTGCTCTGGAGCGGCTTTCATCCAGGATGTCTCAGATTAGCCCAAATTACTGTGTTGTTGCAGTGAATCGTTGTTTTTACATGTTTAATATGGTTTGTATTATTGATCTTAGCATGGTTTGTTTTTGTTACCCGGTGTCAAACTCATCTTTATTTTTGTAGTAGTTCCTTTTCTGGCTGGACTTTTAACAATATAATAGGGTTATTTTATGGCTTTTGGCTTAATATGACTTATTACCTCTGAATTATGTCTTGGGGATCCATGCTGCTCTCCCCCCGACGTAAAAGAACCTGTGTTTTTATTGTTACGTACTGGTTAGTATTTAGTATTCTCTAACTCACTGCCTACATCTGACTCGAGATGAGGACCCAAACATCCTCACACAGCAGGAACTTTCAGTAACACACACCCATAGAATACACTGGAGATCTGGATGAAGTTGATGCACAGAGATTTATTGGAGCACCGACACTCTCCTAAACCGAGGTGATGATACATCACTTTATACATTTCTTTGACCATTGGATTGAGTGAAGCCCTCCCCTTCAATCCTAACTGCATAATCCGTCTCCTGTTGTCTTCACTTGTCCCTCTATCTGGTTGTTCCCTCCCGTTCTGTCTCCTCACGTCTACACACACAAACATGAGGCCGTTGTCCCACAGCTGCTGTCTCTACACTTATCGTAACCCTTGTGCCCAGTGCCATATCCTGGCCCAGAGCCTTAGGCACCCATCTTCCTCTCGCCTCGTCATCTCCGGCATGAGGGGGGACAGCGGCCTGTGGCTCTAGTGACTTTTTGCTGTTAATCTCGTCTGTGGTTGATTTGGGCTGAAGGAAGGTTTTCCTCCACCTGCCTCTCTTTAGCGCTGTTGGGGCGTTCACCTTTACCTCGACTGTCGGGCGTGGTCAAGACCACCCGATACGGTCCAGCTCGTCTCCGCTCGTCCTACGTTCTCCTGTAGGTTTTAAGGTACACCCCCACTCCGGGGGGTACTACCCTTGTTTGGTCTGGCAGGGTTCGCTTTTCATCCGAGGCTCCTTTTACCTGTGTGACGATCCTCCAGGTCCCAGGTGGCTTTGTGGTTTTCGTCATTGTTTCAGGTGCTGATTGGAGCTGATTGAGGACCAGAATCATTTATTCACAAGAAGATTTCCCCGTTACGTGATGAACACCACACGCTGCAGCCGAGCGTCCACTGTCCCGCAGACTGTCTCACTTACTGTCCCACAGACTGGCTCTCATACTGTGCCTCAGACTGTCTCACTTACTGTCCCACAGACTGTCTCACTTACTGTCCCACAGACTGTCTCTCATACTGTCTCACACAGTCTCACACACTCTCTCATGTCTCACACAGTGTCTCACACACTGTCTCTCATACTGTCCATGTCTCACAGACTGTCTCTCATACTGTCTCACACAGTCTCACACACTCTCTCATGTCTCACACACTGTCTCACACTGTCTCTCATACTGTCTCACACACTGTCTCTCACACTGTCTCACACAGTGTCTCTCACACAGTGTCTCACACTGTCTCTCACACTGTCCATGTCTGTACGGTGCTGCGATGCAGAGAACATCTGGAAAGCAGCTGCATGTCGTGCTCTTGGTAAAGTTCTGTTGGTTTATTTGTCTCTTAATAAACTTCTGGATGTTCCACATTTCACTGCTTCAATTGATCAAATGTCTGATGATGAACGATGGATTTATAATGATTCTCACACACATGTAATAAACTAGTTCTATGTGGTCGTCTACATACATATGATACATACGCTGATACATAGATCCTGTTCATTCGTATCAATCTGATGCTTTGGACTTGTTTTCATCTACATACTCTGAAGGAGTTGAGATCTTTATTCTCATTGGATGATGATCATCATTTAAATAGATATAATGTGATTGATTAGAGTGACGAGGCACTAAAATGAGCCGTTACATTTTACCATCACGCGTAACGTTAACTTGTGTGTGATACTTTGTGGGGCTTGTAGCCTCCAGGGGGCGCTGTCAGTCTTTAACATCATTATAGGATTCATTTCATGTTATTTTCTATCGCACAATATCGCAAATTAGCCTCATGTGTCTTTACAGTGTGAACACATGTGACGTCCTCTGTCCAGAAACCTTCACATCGACAGGACAAACTCCCCAAACAATGAAAGGTGTTTGATGGGAGTTCGGCGGACGGACCCGGCGGTCCACACGTCACAGGGACACATGACGCGGATGATCGGGTCGGAACAAAGTGCACACAGGAAGTCGCTTGTGCACAACTTCACTTCTCCGACCGACACCATGCGGCGCGGCCCCGGACGAGTCCCGCGTGGGTTGCGCGTCTCGCCGCTGGTGTTTTGGTGCGTGGCGCTGTGTGGCGCACCTGCCGCGTCACACCCGCAGTGTTTGGACTTCAAGCCGCCGTTCCGACCGCTGAGGGAGCTCGAGTTCTGCGTCATGTACAAGGAGTTCGGCTGCTGTGACTACCAGAGGGACCAGGAGCTGATGGCAAACTACTACCACGTTATGGGGGGTTCGGATTATTCTGGATACGTCCGATGTGCTGGGTTCGTCCTGGAGCTGCTGTGCCAGGTAGGGCTGCTGGGGGCCTGCTGGGGGCCTGCTGGGGGCCTGCTGGGGGCCTGCTGGGGGCCTGCTGGGACAAAGGTCGTCCCAAACAAACTACTCCATGATTGGGAGAATTCACTTCTCACACTTCTTGTTATTTATGGGATGAAGTCATAAAATCTGCAGTCAAAGTGACACCAACATATCAAAATAGCCTCCAGAATGTCAAAAATAACCTTAAAACAACTCATTCTGTTGTCTTTTAAGTGGGAAATTGCATTGCCAACATCATACATGGTCAAAGTAGCTTTGCTTATCCACTTAAATATGAAATAGTCTGTTGGATGGACAGTGACCTTATTCTTGATAGAAGATTATCCATTTTACTGTGATTATTATCCTTCCTCCTCCTTCTGCTTCTCGTCCCAGAACATTACCATCACGCTTATTTATTTATGCTTTATTAAAAAGTAGTGTATTGCACACTTTAATCTTAAAAGTACTTAGTGTGTGCACTTTTGTTGATCTAAAAAATAAGGTGCTTACTGTATTAAGCAGAATTCCCTTTTTACATTATTAGTTAACATATCTATTGTAAATCTCAATTTAAACGTTAAAATAATTTGCCATTGATATTAAGGTTGTATTTGGACCCTCGGAGTCCAGATAACATTATAATAGGCAAGTCAATATTTATAAGTCTCAACAGGTTGCATGAACATGTATCTTTTATCAGGGAGAAGCACAAACAGTCTATTTTTCTATATTCTATCTATCAATATCATGTTTAGTAGCAAGTGTGCCTGTTAGAGGGAAGAGAGCGAGCACAAAGTACACAACTTGTCATGTCCAAGAAGCGTTAATCAGGTTGTCTCGTGATTTCCTGTTTTATTTTGAAAATGAACCTTCCTCTCATTTGAGGCAACTTGCTCCTTCTTTTTTGTTAATTAACTTTGATTTCGAACATCATCTCAGGAGGAGTGCATCTGGGTTCATAGCCATTGTCCCTTCGTGACGCAGCCAGGACTTACTGCACAGAAACCGTGTAGTCTGTGAGGTTTATAATGAATCTCAGTTAAAAAAAGTTCAAGCCCCAGAAAGAGATTTAAAATTAAAAGCTTCTGTTCGTGTTAAGTACACCTATCACAGGCCAATATTGATAAGCACCCCGCTCTCCTTTTCAGGATCCTTGACCTCATTCTTTTGGTTTTATACGTTTTGCCGTTTTAATTCAGTCTCACTGCTTTCAACCTTGTTTCAGTAGCAGCTTTTTTCAGAAAAAAGATCTGACAAACCATGCCCATCTCCAAACTGACGACAGTTGGTGACCAGCTGCTTAACATGGTTTATCAGTTAATGAAGATGAAAAAAGAGCTAATATCAGACAGAAAGACTTTAATACAAATGTAGATCCTGATGGATGTGCATTATGACCATTAAGTGCCACACAGTTTAAAATATCAACTTGGTTGGTGAACAAATTGATCAAAACGAAAAGAAAAAATATCCACCAACTATACATCATAACGAGTCTTCTGCTTTATTGCCTCAACTCCTCATATTTATCCCCATCTGCTCAGCAATGCTCTCCATATGCAGCTCACCTCTTTGATGCTGAGGACCCAAACACCCCAGTCAGGACCATCCCTGGCCTCTGTCCCGACTACTGCTCCGAGTTTTGGAAGAAGTGCAGCTCTACCATCCCTTTATTGTCTAACGACACACTCATAGCAAAACTCAAAGAAGACCAGACACGTCTCTGCCAGTATCTGAAACTCGATGATGATGACTACTGCTACCCTCACCTCCTGAGCAACCAGAAGCTCACTCAGAATCTGGGTACGGTTCAGTCAGACTCTGAGGGCTGTCTGCAGCTGTGCCTGGAAGAAGTTGCAAACGGGCTTCGGAACCCGCTTGCAATGGTGCATGCCAATGATGGCACACATCGGTTCTTTGTGGCAGAACAGGTAGGCTTGGTGTGGACATACCTTTCTGAGCGGTCGAAACTGGACATACCATTTTTGAACATTACCAAGACTGTGTTAACGTCATCATGGGAAGGTGATGAGAGAGGCTTTCTGGGACTTACCTTTCACCCAAAGTACAAATACAATGGGAAGCTCTATGTGTACTACTCGGTGGAGGTGGGCTTTGATGAGAGGATCCGAATCAGTGAGTTCCATGTGTCAGCCAATGACATGAATGTGGTGGATCATGCTTCTGAGCGGTAGGTGTATGGACTGATCCAGGTTAGCAAATGCAATACCAGCTCTTTGTCTTATCCTATTTTTCATGTCCACTTTTCTCACAGGGTTATTCTGGAGATCGATGAACCAGCATCCAACCACAATGGAGGGCAACTTTTGTTTGCAGATGATGGCTACTTGTATGTTTTCACAGGCGATGGTGGAATGGCAGGAGATCCGTTTGGAAAATATGGAAATGCCCAAAACAAGTAAGATGTCCACAAATGTTTTATAAAATTAAATACCTAATCTGAAGCAACAAAGAATATTCCCAGTTTTAAAATATGTGGCAAAGAACAACCATAAAGGGCTACGGTCTGATCCATATTTTAGTCATTATTTAGAAAATGAGTTTAGTTTTATTGATCGTGATGGCGTGTTTCTTTTCCACATTACTAGGTCATCTCTGTTGGGTAAAGTTCTTCGCATTGATGTGGATGACAATGAAAGAGGCCCATTGTACAGAATTCCTCCAAATAACCCCTTCATACACGAGCGGGGGGCACGCCCTGAGATTTATGCTTACGGTGTTCGCAATATGTGGAGGTGTTCTGTGGATCGGGGTGATCCACAGACCAAAGAGGGCAAAGGACGTATCTTCTGTGGCGATGTTGGCCAAAACAAGTTTGAAGAGATTGACATCATTGAGAAAGGTCGAAACTACGGATGGAGAGCCAAGGAGGGATTCTCTTGCTACGACAAGAAGCTGTGTGCCAACAGCTCGCTAGGTAGGCATGCTGTGGTCAGTCAAATGTTTCAATGTCAAACTACGTACGTCTGTTGGGATGTAATGAAGGGCCAATACTGTAGTTTTTACATAGCCAGTGTGCAAAATACTGGTTAAGGTAATGCCACCTAACCGAACCCCCCCAACCTCATTCAATACATATTCTACCAGATTTCCATGTTTAGGTCCACAAATATTAAAAAACCTTTTAGAGACATTTTTTGTGACAATCGCAGGTAACAATTAATTGTCATATCATTTTATAGTGCCTGAAATGTTGTTGTTGGGGTTTCCCAATCGTACCATGCACATTGACCCTAACCTATGACAAGATTTACTTTGCTTAACTGACACCTCTGTCACGGCTCGTGAGAGGGATCCAAAAGCAAACACCGGAACCAGGTAAAGTATAAACACAAAATGCGTATTTATTGTCTCTCTTCCCAAACGACAACTCAAATACTCAGGCCTTCCGGCAATGCACCGCCGTCGTCGGCGGCGTCCCGTGTCTCCCTCGTGACGTAGGAATGGAAGCCACTGAAGTCTCCGGACCCGGGAAACCGCGTGTCTGGAAAGCTGTACTCGGCAATCCCTCGGCGCCGAACCTCTGAAAGATGTCCCTCTTTAACTGCTCCCTGAAGACTTGCAGCAGCTGCCAGCGATGAGTGCACTCCTCCCAGCTGCCCTGCATCAATCTGATTAGGCCACAGAAGAGAGAACAAGAGTCCCACCCGCTACCTCCAGAATTACTGTGGCTCCCCCTTGTGACCCTGTCCCGTATCCCCACAGTACCCCCCCCTCAACGGGCGCCTCCTGGCGGCCGCCCGGGCTTACCCGGATTGTCCCGATAGAACTCCCGGAATAATGTGGAGCCAAAAATCTGCCGGCGGGGCAGCCAAGATCGTTCCTCCGGTCCATACCCCTCCCAGTCCACCAGATATTGAAACCCCCGCCCCCGACGCCGGACGTCCAGTATCCGGGAAACCCTGTGTGCTGGATGCCCCTCGATGACCAGGGGAGCCGGGGGAGCATTGGCCGGAGGGCTGAATTCGCTCTCCCCCACCGGTTTCAACAGCGAGACGTGAAACGTCGGATGTACCTTCAGGGCCGCCGGCAGGGTCAGACGAACCGCCGAAGGGTTGACGATCTGTTCGATAGGGTATGGTCCGACGTACCTTGGGTTCATCTTGCGGCCCTCCGTTGCCAGGGGGAGGTCCTTCGCGGACAACCACACCTGCTGTCCTACCCTGTACGCCGGTGCGGGGACGCGATGTCGGTCAGCCATCTTCTTGTTGATCTCCCCCGACCGGGTGATAGCTGCCCGCGCCGAGTCCCACACCTCCTGAATCCGCCGGAGATGGTCATCGACGGACGGGACTGCCACTGCTGCCTCCTGGATCTGAAACAACGGGGGCTGAAAACCGAAACAGACCATAAATGGCGACATCCCCGTAGCAGAACGTGACAGGGAATTGTGGGCATACTCCACCCACGGCAGGAACTTGCTCCATGACGCCGGATGCCGCGCCGCGATGCACCGCAACGCCGACCCCAGGTCTTGATTGCCCGCTCAGTCTGTCCGTTGGACTGTGGATGATACCCTGAAGATAAACTGGCCCTTGCCCCCACAGCCCTGCAAAACGCACCCCATACCTTAGACGCGAACTGCGGTCCTCTGTCGGATACAATGTCCATAGGGATCCCGTGAATCCGGAACACATGCAAGACCAACAGCTCGGCGGTCTCCAACGCAGAAGGCAGTTTGGTGAGGGGAACATAATGAACCGCTTTGGAAAAACGGTCCACTATGGTCAGAATGGTTGTGTTCCCGTCGGATGGAGGCAAGCCCGTAACAAAGTCCACCCCGATGTGGGACCACGGCCTGCCCGGGACAGGCAATGGTTGCAGCAGGCCCGCCGAGGCCTGGTGCGAGGCCTTACCTCTGGCACATTCGGGGCACGCCGCCACAAACGCCCTCGTGTCTCGATCCAGTCCCGGCCACCAAAACCGCTGACGAATGAAGAGAGCCGTCCGTCTCGCCCCCGGATGACACGTCAGCTTCGATGAATGGCCCCACTGAAGTACCTGCGATCTGACCGTCCGTGGCACGAACAGGCGGTCCGCTGGTCCCCCCTCTGGCACCGACTCCCCCCGCTGCGCCTCCTGCACCACCGACTCGATCTCCCAAGTTGCCGCACCTACAATACACTCGGACGGAAGTATGGGCGTGGAATCCGGTGATGCCGGCGGCGGGAAGATCCTGGAAAGGGCGTCCGGCTTGCCGTTCTTGCTTCCCGGGCGATAGGACAACGTAAACTGGAAACGGCTGAGGAACAAGGCCCACCGTGCTTGTCGGGAATTCAGCCTCCGAGCTGCCTGGATGTACGCCAGATTCTTGTGATCCGTCCAAATCCAGAAGGGCTGCAGGCTACCCTCCAACCAATGCCGCCATTCCTGTAGCGCGAGGACCACTGCCAGCAGCTCCCGATTCCCGACGTCATAATTCTTCTCCGCCGGACTCAACCGTTTGGAGAAGAAAGCACATGGATGTAACTTCTGCGTTGACGGATCTCGCTGAGACAGAACGGCCCCGACCCCTGCTTCCGACGCATCCACTTCCACCACAAACTGCCGAGCGGAATCAGGGTGCCTAAGAATAGGGGCGCTGGTGAAGAGAGACCTCAATTTACTAAACGCCCCCTGTGCTTCTGGCGTCCAGCAGAAGGATGCCTTGGTGGATGTTAGCGCGGTGAGAGGTGCGGCCACTCTACTGAAGTCCCTCACAAACCGGCGATAAAAATTTGCGAACCCCAGGAACCGCTGTAAGTCCTTCCGCGTGCCCGGGATCGGCCAGTCTGCTACCGCTCGAATCTTATCAGGATCCGGTTCCACCTGCCCCCGCGCAATCACGAACCCGAGGAAACGAACCGACGCCACGTGAAATTCGCACTTCTCGGGTTTAACGTATAGCCTGTTTTCCAAAAGTCGCCGCAGCACCAGTCGCACCTGTTGCTGGTGCTCGGCGAGGGACCGGGAGAAAATCAGGATATCGTCCAGATAAATGAAAGCGAAGCTACTGGTGATATCCCGAAACAGATTATTCATTAATGACTGGAAGACGGCCGGGGCATTTGTCAACCCAAACGGCATGACCCGATACTCGAATTGCCCCATGGGCGTGTTAAAGGCCGTCTTCCATTCATCACCTTCGCGGATACGAACCAAATGATAGGCGTTTCGGAGATCCAGCTTGGTAAAAAACTGCGCCTGAGAGAGAGGTTCGAATGACGGGTCGATTAACGGCAATGGAGTCTTATTCTTTATCGTGATTCGATTCAAGCCCCGATAGTCAATGCATGGACGCAGTGAGTGGTCCTTTTTCTCAACGAAAAAGAACCCCGCGCCTAACGGGGCGGACGAAGGACGGATGAAACCCGCGTCCAGGCACTCCCGAACGTATTTTTCCATTGCTAACCGTTCCGGGCGGGAGATGTTGAAAAGACGGCTAGTGGGCAGCGGAGCCCCCGGGAGCAAGTCTATCGCACAATCGAAAGGTCGGTGCGGTGGCAGAGTACAAGCCTTGTCCTTACTAAACACCTGCGCAAGGTCATGGTAGACTGATGGAACCGTGGATAAGTCTGGAGGAAGTGATGGTACCACTGACGTCGCTGGTGTTCCCCCCGCAGCCCGCAGACACCGGGCATGACACCCCACGCTCCAGCCCGCGATGGCCATAGTTGTCCAATCCACCATGGGGTTATGAAGTTTTAACCACGGGAGACCCAGCACGATCGGACTCGCCGGAGACGGAATAATTAGCAACTGAATGGTTTCTGAATGGTTTCCCGATATACGGAGCGTGAGGGGGCCTGTGCGATGCGTGACCCGGCTGATCAGTCGACCATCTAGCGCGTTAACTGCCCTGGCGCTCTCGAGCGTCTCTAACGGTACTCGCAACCGTGCGGCTAGTCCCTCGTCCATAAAATTAGCATCAGAACCGGAGTCCACGAGGGCGGTGGTCGAGTGATTATGGGAATGAAACAGTAGAATGGCCGGAATGGAAATACGGGATGGGATAGTAGAGGACGCTGCGTTACTCACCAGGAGGTCCTCTCCGCCTGGTGAGGAGCCCCGTTTGGGGACTCCGGACAGTTCCTAGCATAATGTCCCGCGCGTCCGCAATACAAACACAGTCGACGACTAAACCGCCGTTCGCGTTCGGACGGAGTCAACCGAGCCCGCCCCAACTGCATCGGCTCGCCCGCGCCTCCCGAAAACTCCCCCCCCCGAGAAACTGCGGACGCGACGGCCGCCTCCCCCGCTCGCGTTCACGTTCCTGAATGCGATTATCCATCGTAATTGCCAACGAAATAAGCTGCTCCAAAGTGGTGGTGGCGTCGCGAGAGAGCAGCTCGTCTTTCAGGGTCTCCGACAGGTTCCGCGCAAAAATGGTCCTTAGCGTGTGTTCGTTGGCACCGCTCTCGGCGGCAAGGATCCGGAACGAGATAGCAAAATCCGCCACTGATTCAGACCCCTGCCGCAGCGACAGCAGCCTATTCAAAGCATCCTGCCCCCGCACCGGGTGGTCGAACACACGTCGCAGTTCCTCAGAAAAACCCGCGAAAGAGCTCAACGCCGAGGACTGACCCCCCCACAACGCGGTCGCCCACTGGGCCGCCCTTCCCCGAAACAAATTCATACAAAAAGCTATCTTGGCTCTGTCGGTGGTATAACTGCGGGGCTGCAGGTCGAACACGAGCTCGCAGTTCAGTAAGAAGCGGCCGCACCCCCCGGCTTCCCCTGCATACGGTTCTGGCAGTGGAACCCGCGGCTCCCGGTCGTTGGCGGCGTTGGTCGGGACCCTGGGTCCTCTTCTCTCTCTGGAGGGATCTGGGACCTCCCGATGCCGCAAGCCCCCGACGTCCAAGGCCGGTCCATTCCGTCGATTCAGCCTCTTCCAAGGACTCATTCATCAGCACCAGCATTCTTGCTCGGGCCTCCCCACCATTCGCTCCTTGGGCCTTGAGAGCCTCCCTGCACGGGATGCGGGGTTTGCTGGATATCAATGTTGGTATTGCCCAAGGGATTCTGGTCACGGGCTCCGTGAAAAGGATGCCCCAAAGCCAAACCCCGGAAACCAGGGTAAAGGATAAAACCCAAAAAT